TTGAGCCTGATCTCCGACGACGATTAACTGGCATTATAAGCGACACGACCAATTATTTCCAGAAAATCCGTGAACGATTACCAAAGGATTTCGGCCAAGTAATATTTGTTTAGAACTGTAGGATCCAAACCACGTTTGGACTGCTGGACAGCTGCCTGGATAAGTTCGATACGCGCCCTCGCCCGTTTGAAACCAAAACAAGGTAATTGGGTAAGATAGCGGTTCTATAATTTATCATAAATTTAAGTATACATTATTACCTAAACAAATATAACCACACAGCTATCCAACCAATAATTGTTTAATTGATCAAATCTAAACTACAATAAATAAGAAAGTTGATAAAGAATGCAAGAAAATTACCAATCACCACAAATAAATGTTATTCTATCCTGTCTGGATAGATCACGTACAGATTCGTTCAAAAGGTAATAATTGGTCGCTCTATAACACAGAGTGTTTTCAATTCTGGAAGAGTGCTTCAATTCACAACCAAAATGCACAATTCCAGTCAACACAGGTCAAGCAATCAAAGGCAGGAACCAACCAAAATGGCTGCCGCTCAGACTTAGTATAAAGTAAAACAACATAAGTGCAGTTCGGGAAGAAACATGGGGAATTAGTGAAGGTGTGGTAAAAACAAAAACTATAATAAAATACAAAGATTAACAATTCAAATGTAGTCCAAAAGTTAACAATGTACAACTAAGAAGATCAATAGGAACAAAGTGCAAGTATATACATGGAGGGATTTTCACAAACACACAAGGCATTCAAAATGGATCTTACACGAGTATCTCAAAAACGCGTTGTGTGCTATACAGAGAACGTGGTCTGGTGTAATCGAATAAATTTTGGGTTCGTCAGTCCGTTGTTCCAACCGAATATTTGTTGTTCGGTCGCTACAAACATACTGTAATTCTCAGCTTGATTAGCTGATTAGCTATGAGGTCTCTAAATTCGTGATAATGTAGAAAGAAAAGTCAAAATTCGCGTGATTTACCAATTATGAGATTTTTCAACATTAATTCCATTCTGATTCAATGTGATGATCATTCAGTGTAATATTCGGTTTTCTTTTCTCGTATGATATCTTATTCTGTATAATATATGATATTCTTGTATTTAATTGACACGAACTATGCTCAATATGTGAGTTGTTATAACTGAGTATTTTTTATATGTGATTCCATCCTAATTATTAATCAAAATGGGTGCACAGTCAATATATAAAAGAGTGTATTTTCTACTAGAGTTTTCGTCGTCGTGTTTTGGGGTTAATAAATCTTCACTTATACCAGTCTTTGTGCTCTTACTTTCGCGTCGTGGGAATTGCAGAGGTCCCTCGATTCGAGTAAAGCGATAAGAGTTTTCGACGCTACAGTCAGCAATCACCAGATATAACAAGTAGCATTCAACTAACAAGTTAAAACAATTCGCCGCTGTGACTTGTGTACAGTTGGTGCAATAAATTGATGAAGAGAAATGAAAACATCTCAAGCAGGTCATATACTTGTCATTTCGCTGTTCTTTGGAAGATTTTTCACTGACGGAAGCTTTAAGCATGGTTGTTATAATGCGTGGATTTATAGTTATATCAACAGGCAAAGAAAACCAATCAGCAGTCAGATGTGAAGAATTTTCTCTGTTCCTATGGTCATTTATTGGTGATAAGTGTCTGATACCTAGTTTTCTTGGAATACGGTGAATTGTATTTATATCCTTCAATGCGCATAGGTTAGGATTTTGCCTCCAAGACCACTGATGTATTTTAACACTATGTTTCTAAATAAATATATTCACTTGAGTGCCCACCGTATACAACATAGTGAGCAATGTTCGTGAACTTAATATCCTATTGAATGCCGTAACTAATCAGAGTACGTAAATGAAAATCACATAGTTTTAGAGAACGGTAAGGATAATCAAGTTGGTTAAAACACTAACAGCTTTTGTAAAACTAAAGACTAAAAAAAAGTAAAACACCAAATTTTTCATGTGCGGTCATGATATTAGAAAACAAACAAACATTTTAGTAAAAAATCTGATTTAATCAACGAAAAGTTGGAACGATACTTGATGCATACATAACAACGTGAAAATCGTGCGATATAAATTTAAACGCAGTACTTCTCATAACGGAAAGAAAACGTTGCTATTCCGAAGATATACTTATGGTTGATCGGATGAGCATTTTTTCTCGAGAGTATTCACGAACACCATTCGAGATGGTTGAGAGGATGCGGAAGTGTATTTATATAAAGTCGTATTGTTAAACAAATTGTAAACACGAATCATTCTACCAAAAAAACTAATTGTTCATAGTCAAGTTCTAGGTAAATCACAGCGTAACACAGTGAGCCTCGCTTTCGTACTTCCGCTGAGGCCTTTGCTATGTCTAAACAAAAAAAGAAAAGGGCGTACAAAAAATTAATTCGAACGTTAATTCAATTTCAAAGGCATTGGATTATCTCATTGGTGATAAATTTTACTGAAACTTGATCAGCCTTGGTTGGCATATGGGCATCCTGTTTTGATCGCTTCGATGTATACGCGTGCACTCGTGATTCGCTCTTTCCCATAAAATATTTTTTAAAGACCTGCGAAATTATCCACTAGCTTAGGCGGCACCATCTTCGTTACTCCTCTCTTCAAACTACGTGTAACGAAAAGAAAACTCTGGAAATCCCCCCACAGCATATTTATGGACAGTAATGCTATTTATTTTTTTCTCCCTGTCGTGTATTTTAGCCTTTATTCAGATCTCTCCTAACCACGCTCTGTGTTCTTCAGTCTCCCTAGTCTGAGGTTTTATTGTGTGGCTTTCGTTAAAGACTTACCTTGTGTTACCTAAATTTTCTGTCTTATGTTGCCGAGCCATTGACAATAAGGTCGTGTTTGACTGAGCCCAAGGTCACGGGGTGGTTCAGCGGTGTGACTTTTAACCCTTTGCTGTTTGCTTGGAACGATTCCTGGATTCCCTACATTTAGACATCTGATCCCACCTTGTTGGGAATATCGTTATTGATTCTCAGATTTCAACTCTTGTTTATTAACTATTATTTTAGTTATAAATAGAGGTGGATAGCGGCTTTCAGTGGAATCCAGGACGCGCATTTCGTCCTATTTGGGACTCGTCAGCTAGATGTACCCGCATCTCAGAGTTCACGTTCACCTTGGGACTCCAATTCAGTACCGTTAGCGTCAAACGTCATCGCGTTTACCACTCGGCTATTGAGTCCTGACGGACACATACTTGTGCAATGGAGTAAAGTTTAGGACTGCAATTGATCACTATCTTATTGTCATATGTGCGGACTGTACATATTGCATCGATATTGCCTTAATTGGGTTACAGTCCCAGGGTGAACATGAACTCTGAGATGTAGGTACATTCAGATGACGAGTCACAAATAGGACGAAAAGCGCGTCCTGGGTTCCACTGCTGACAACTATCCACCTTTGCCCGTTGTGCTTGTGGATTAGTGCGATGTCGAGGCAAAACGCACAGTACGCTCATATGTCAATAAGAGACTGATCAATTGCAGTCCTAAACATCAATGGGATGATTCAAGTAAACAATACTGAGTGAATTCTATTATTTTTGTTGTTTGAGACTCGATTTTGTGTTAGAAAAACATTTGACCGTATGGCACATCTGTATCGTCTGAAATATTCTGTACTTTTGATATAATTTATTCCATTTCTTAAATTAGAACTGTTTAAATTAAACACAGAGTTTGTGTTTTTATATGATTTAATTCGAGTAATTCAAAAACGCTTTGTACGCTGTACAGAAGAACGTAGTCTGGTATAATGGAATAAATCTTGGTTCTTTAGTCCTGTGTTCGAACGGAATATTGTCGTTCCGGTCGTTACGCTTCTCATAAACATGGCTGCTAGGTCACATAATGCAGTAATTGACGCAACCTCAAGAATTCCTAGCTGATTAGTATGTTGGTCTATTATTCATTTATGTACCAGAAGTAGCCAACAAAATACAACTCGATACATAGGTCACAGTTGTAGTGTTACTTAAAAATAAATAAACTTTCGTGTTGGACTCCAAATTAAGTTGTGAACTTCTTTTCCAACGGGAATAGGAAGGATAGAGCACAAATAGTGCTAGCGAATTCCATCAGACTTGAAAATACAAGTTGCGAAATAATGATCTCCTCGGGCAAACCACAAATTGTAGTAACTACGATCGAATTCCGAGAGTTGAGTTTTCATATTCATAATCTTTCCATTTCTAATGGCGAAAAAATACACCTATGTTCTAGGCTTTCGCTCTGAATGGTTCTGACATGTGCTACATGACCTGTAGTGTCAGTCATTATTTTAAGCCCATATATCTTATTCCAGTTTTTGGAAAAACCAATCTATTCATTCTACTTGAGTCATACTTTGACCTTGTCAATTATTCGCTTATCAGTCTTGACTGTTTTTATGTGAGCGTATATGTGTGTGCCCTTCTTATCCCATTAATCACATGTCTGTAGCTTTATTTTGTCTGACTATAAATATTGAGTAACGCTTGACTAAAATGGAGTTGGCTTCCCGGCCATCTTCCCTGCGTGTCAATTTGCTCTACTCTTTCATTCGCTTCATATACAAAATATATGTATTCTCAAGACAATTCTCGTTATTCGACTTGTTTAATCCCGTTATTGACTAACGCGATTCAAGTCGACGATGATATACGAGAATAGGCGATAACAAATATTCGTACGATCTAAAACGGGAGTCAGATCCACGGGCCACAAAAGACCATCGTATTCTTAAACTATAACCGTAGTCAAATAATGATTCCAACACAAACAATGCGCTACACAAACATGTATAAATATATGTATATTCGAGATTTAGATTGAAGACAATCAGAAGTTTTACAACAAAAAATAACGATGTCCCACACCAAAAGCAGATTCCAGTTGGTATTACCCAGTAGATCGAATATTTTATCCCACAATTTATTTCAACTTACTTAGAATGAAGAGGTTAAATTGAACGTTCATCTTGTAAAAATGAAATATGAACTGTGAAGGAACACCAGCGTGATTACTTTTAATGACTCTAATAAAAGCTTAATAACGTAACGCTACTCACGAAAGAAAAGTATGTCTCTTTTCCAACTCATATAATTTGATTTGCATTCTTCATAATCAAACCCAAGTTATGATTATCTGCCATTGAGTATTGATCGAGTGAGGCGAATTTATGCAGGTGCGCTGCACTTACTTTTGCATCCGCCATAACGGCTTTTCTGAAAGGCAAAACTGACAAGTAAGCACTGGAAGTTTGAGTTAGTGATACTTTGTGTACACGATGATTTAGGGTTACCATTAGACACAGCAAACACGATCAGTTTGTCACGATTTGCAACAAACGACCAGTTAACCTTCGATTGGACACCTAGTGACTTCCACGCACTAGATCCAACTCTCTACACCAAGAACTTTACTCAAAGATCGCTTCATAATCTTGTCGTCGAACCAAGCCTACCTTCAGGATGCTGTTGCGAACCAAGAGCAGACTAAGCTGGTTCCCGCAATAGCGAAGCTTCCGTATGGATCTCGACTGGCCAAGCTGAACCTTTTCCCGTTGTCATATCGCAGAACTAGAGGCGACTTGATTACAGTCTACAAATTGCTTAGTGATGAATTTGCACCTAACATGCCCTCATTTTTCTTGTCTTCCAAAACAGAGAATTTACGAGGACACTCCGAAAAAGTTCAGAAACCGAGAACAAATTACTTGTCAGCTGACTATCGACTTTCCCATCGAATCATCAACGAGTGGAATTCACTACCTCAGCACGTCGTTGAGGCTCCATCCGTCGACTCTTTCAAAAGAAAGTTGGATCAACTGAGAGACCACCATTGCCAGGACTAACATAGGCCATCGAGCCTCCTGTCCTTCCCAAAGTGAAACTGAATTTTCGGTGTTATAACCAGCTTTAACTGGTTGTTACCCCGATCTCAGTCCAACTGATTGCTTACTATGCTTGATTATATCTTCCAATCATTGCAAACGTTATGCATTCCTTGTTGCGAATTGCTCTTGTCAATATACCTTCAAAAGTTTGATGGATATTCGGTAAGGCTACCAGGATACAAAAGTTAACTATGCAACGCGAACCTATTCCTAGTCCTAATTAAGGGATCACAGGCACTGGAACAGTGCTTTGTTATGAGGGGTTAATATATCGTGGTTTAAATAGTCTACATACCTTGTTAATGCTGGTTGCTATCTGTTGCTTTCCTTAATAAATGTGAGTGCATTGTTCCCGCTTACCGGGTCCTCAGATTTCAGTCTTCAGTAATAAGGATAGTAGGTTGGTGAACCTGTGTTAATCCTGACACATTGCTTTCCAGTGAAGGTCCAGCTTTTCCTTGAAAGTATTCACTGATGGGGCTGATACCACTTGTTCGGGTAAGGCGTTCCAATGATTGACTACTCGATGAGAAAAACGGGATCCCACTTTAAGTTTATTAGATCGTGGTTTATGAACCTTCTTGCTATGACCTCGGAGATTATTAGTGCTGGAGGGAGCAAAAAGATAAGACATATTAACACCCAAATCATAATTAAAGATACGAAATGCCAGTATAAGGTCACCTCGTGTCCTACGATACGACAAGGGGAAAAGATTTAGGCGTTTTAAGCGCTCATCGTAAGGGAGTCTAGAAAGACCCTTCACTAATTTCGTTCCCACACGCTGGACACGCTCAAGGGAGTTAGTATCCTTTACCAGACACGGGCTAGCTGCTTGGATACAGTACTCTAAATGTGGTCTAACATATATGGGATATAAAATTCGAAACGTTTCCTCGTCAAAAGATTTGAACGCTCGGCGAAGTGACCATAACGCACGAAAACCTTTGACAGCGGCTGCTTTGCAATGCGCAGTTGTTTTTAAGTCATGACTTAATATTACTCCTAAGTCCTTATGCTCTTGAACGCATGGAAGAGGTTTACCCTCAATAGTGTAACGGTAACTATTACCGTGACCGATGTGCATTAGTACACTCTTCCTAGCATTGATTTCTAAGCCCCACTCTCGAGCCCATCTAACTAAATCGTCTAAGTCAGCTTGAAGATCCACATGATCAGCCGCACTTTTTATTGTTCTCCAGATTTTTACATCATCTGCAAACAATAATGTCGACGACCTAAGTAACAGCGGTAACTCATTAACGTAGAGAAGGAAGAGCAGAGGGCCTAAGATGGTGCCTTGGGGTACACCACTTTTGACCGGCTTCCAATCGGATAGCGTTCCATTGACCCTAACTCTCTGTCTGCGGTCACATAAGAAATTTCCTATCCACTCATGTACAGTACCTATTATTCCGAAGCTCGTGAGCTTCTGCATAAGACCTACGTGTGAAACCTTGTCAAACGCTTTGCTAAAATCTATGAATATCACGTCGACAGACAGACCGTGATCTAGGGCTGCTGTCCAATCCTCCCTCGCAATAAGCAAGTTAGTCAAGCATGAACGCTTGTTACGAAATCCGTGTTGCTCAGGAGCTAACAGATTGTGTAAATCTATGTGGCTTAGCAACCTAACCCGAATTATCTTTTCGAGTAACTTAACGACTATGCTAGTTAGACTGACAGGCCGGTAGTTAGATACTATCTGTCGCTGACCGTCCTTAAATATAGGACTAACTATAGCGTCCTTCCAATCTCTAGGGAGTTGAGCGAGTGAGAGGGACATGTTGAAGAGTGTCGCAAGCGGTTTTGAAATAATGTCCGCAAGAGATGACAGCAACCGTGGATGTAACCCGTCAGGGCCCGGTATCTTACCAGGTTTGAGGTTAGTTATCAACGGAAGGACAGTTTCCTCAGTCACCTGTACAGATTCAATGGTTGGTATCTCGGTGTGAGTGGGACAAGTATTTGTTACAATAAACGTAGAGAAGACTTCGCTAAAATAATCTGAAAAAGTCTCAGCTTTTGCTCGATCTGATTCAGCTAGTAATTCTGAATTTTCGTGTAACAGTAACGGGGGAATACCATCACTACGTTTCATTTGCCGTTTAACATACGAAAACAATCGTTTCGGACAAGTACGGCTATCATATACTAACTGTCGTTCGTAAGTGGTACGGGATTTGGCTATGGTTTTCTTACAGATATTACGGTATTTTTGGTACTCACGCTTAAATGGTGCATGACCTGTCAACAAGAATAAGTCCCAGAAATGTTTCCTACGCTTTAACAGCTTCCGGGTTTCCTTATTAATCCATGGAGGGCAATGTGATAGCTTACGTGCTGACCATGGGATAAACGGCGACGTTACGGACTCGAATGTAGCCTTAAACTTATTCCATTCATCTTCGATCAATCCATCCGCGTCGACCGACCAATCAGCCGAGTCCTCAACTCCGTAAGAGCATTCTTCCACTTGATTCGATCCTCAAGCGGCCAATCTGGTCGAATACGGATATTTGAGTCACGAGTTTTTAGTGCGCTTTTCAATAATATGTCTCTTTCTTCAAAACTCCCGAGAACCAGCTTCAGGATTCTTCTTGGTTGGGTCTCGCCTCCAACCCATTTACCAAGTCGTATTACTTTTGTAATATGTACCCCTGAAACCCCTTCAGGTAGTACATTCCTTACCACAGACTCCACTAACTGCAGGTCATGTGCATGTCTTCTAGCAGGGTCGTTGTCTTTCGACTCCTCTAGATTCCAAATAATTAAACTAGGGAGGGCTTTAGCTTCTTTTGAAACTGTGTTCACAGCTTTCGACCGTGACGTTAGATCCTGTATTTTAACTACTGGTATCTTACGATTAGTTTTTATTGCAACAGAGTCCTGGGAGTCGAGCGAGTGACTCACAACAATGTTAGACGAAGCTTTACTATGAGACTTTGGCGGAGTGGTCTGAGAGTCCATCAAGGACTTATCAAGTAAACGGTCATTAGTTTTAGCTGTCTTTCCTAATCTTCTGCGTTTCCGTGTCATCCATATTCCATCAGTCGTAGCATCCACATTAGAACCACTCGGGATAGTGATTGTTTTATCTGGGTCACCGGTTGCTGCTGTAGCAACATGGCCATTAATATCTAATAAGGTGTCACTCATTGATTGTTTCGGGGTAGACGGTTTAATAGCGGGCTGCACAGTTAGATGTCTGGCTTGCGCCGTGACAGCACTCACGACACTAACGCAATCTTCGCCATCAGTATCAATGTTGCCAGTACAGCCCACATCAACCTTCTTATTAGCCAACACCAGGAGACTAATTGCTTCCTGGATAAGCAATGTTTTGCTCGAGCAACAAAAACTACAAAGCCAATGAGAGTTGGGCTTTGAACACCTTTTATATGCAGTGGGGCTTAATCGGGTGCACATCTTATGGAACCACTTATTACACTCATCACATTGCATCCCTTCATCCACGGGAAATAAGCAATATGGTTGTCCACATTTATGAGCAGACCTAGCCATCTTGAAAATCAACTAGAACGGTGGCAGAAACAGGATATGTAAAATGATTTTCAAACCTTAACTAAATAAATCAAGTAAAAGTCGACCAAGTATGCTTCGATGCAATAAATACACAAAAGCAAAATCGAAACACTCAATACAATATCACTTTAACTGGGGTAGATGCAATTAAAGTGTTAACAGTAGTTTTGATGCGTAATTTACGATCAAAAGAGTTAATTAACTCAACGAGAAACAATACCACTGTCCTTTTACTTCTTTCTTCTATTTTCCAGCTCTCTTCACGCTACTCTGCATTCCCGCCTAGTACGCAAAAAACATTCTGACTAGTGAATAGCTAAAAAATGCAGTCCGGTTGTGCCAAGCTTGTAGATCCTATGGATCTAGAGTATTTCCTACCAGAGAACAAAATGGAGGTATTTTCGTATATTAACTCTAACCGTTCCAGAAGAAAGTAGAAAAGTGTCCTCCAGATATATGTAAGCTATACCAGTTTTACTAACAACACATTAGTTTTCAGTTTGGAAACCAATCCTATTACTGATGGTTCCGCATACATTGAAGTAGGTGAAATTAAAGTTTCCTGTTCCGTCAATGGTCCTACTGAGGTATAATAATCACGTATTGCAAGGAGTTAATCTGATTCTGATGTAGATGCGCCAAGACAGCCAGTTAGTTGCAGTGCTTAAGTTTGCACCATTCTTGTCCTGGTTACCGAAAGATGTTCAAACGTCTATTGAAAAAAAGCTTAGTCGACTTCTTCTTAGCGCTATTGAACCTTCTGTCATGCTTGTAGGTCTAAACCGAAATTATTTGATTTGGTTTCATGGTTCTTTCCTCTTTCATTTTATTACTTTGTGTGTAGAAGAATACTTATGAAGTATATTACACGGTTGGAAATAATCATCTTATTCGTGTGGTAGTCAAAGTCTTTTTATATACTATCGGACGACCGGACACGTCTGAACTGATAAGCATTGTCTCGAAGTAACATACTTCCATGGTTTTTGCATAATCTCTTTTTACAAACAATGGAGTTGTCACCTTCCTATACAGATTTAGGTTTCGCTATTTTAAACCATCCTATTTACGTCGGTTGACATCAATACGCCTTCGTACAACCGTAAATGAAAAGAGCTTAGCATTTTATCAGAAATGCTATTACATGATCATGTGTTTCACAACCTTTTTTGAGCGAAGTAATCGTAAAGGCTTTTATGTACCCGGTGTTCTACAAAAATCAATATCCACCCTTTAAATAGGCCTGGTATATACGGAGTTCACTTTCGCGAAGTTGTAAAGCCCTGACCGCAATTTGCTTGTTCACATATTGTCATCGAAAAGTAAGCGTAACAAAAATCCTGATCTACATAACAGTGGGTAAACACCGGCCTATAGATGTTACGATGTGGTTTCTTAGAAAACCTTATCACCTATACCAACTCCCAGTAAACTTGTTTTGGAAGACTATTACTGTCCAACAAATCTAGTCCCTTTATTACTTGAATATCATACGGTTTTACAAAATATTGACGCATTAACAAAATATGAACTGAAGCTATTAATGACGTTAGCTTTTATAGATAAATTGCTGACTAATATAAGAAGAAACAGCCCCATCATCCGAATTATCACCCTTGACCTCGTAAAAGTTTCAGGATCCTAGAGTAATTCATAACAAATAAATCTGCTCTGGCAACCGGCTGAATACATTTTTCGACGTTAATCTATTACCTTGTATCAAACATTTTGATCAATAACTACATGAATTGCTCAGTGGCCCGAGTATTATTACATCCACCATTATGAGTGAAAAAAGGTGTAATTAATCGCCTTTTTTATTAGTTCTCAAATGGCAACAGTTTCATTATAAATAACTTCATTTTATGTCTTAATACATTTTAGACCGTTTTATTCCCATGTAGTTTAATGTGAAACTTCTTAGCTTAACACTGACAAGACTCATGTTTTCGCGTAACAGTTCTTAACTCTTAGATTATATCTTATAAAAGCTGCCAATGACTATAATTCCAATGCAACTATGTTTTTAATATAACTTATGTGGTTTGGACTATCTCTCATTGATGTTCATATTATGATGCGGATCAGACTGGTCTTATATCTAGTGGTTGAAAAATCTGTCAACCTGTAGGTAGCAGGTTTACATCTCTCTCTACCTACATTGTCTTCGAAAACCAATTAGTATCACCAACCTACACTCAAACAATGGAAATCAAAGCCAAGAACATTAATGCGTACTCGGTAAATAAGTGAAAATAGAATAAAAACTCACTACTGGTTATCATATTTTAAAAATCCATATTAAAGATGGAACTAAAGTGTTACAACGCATTATCTACTTAGTTACTGAGCTGGGATAACTTTAATAACTTCAAAGCTGTCTAGTGTCAGTTGAAGTGTCAACATGTTTTGACATTTCACTGATTATCAACTCAAATGTTCCTACCCAGTCAACGGAAGTTATTTATTGCCTACTATTTTTCAAAAGCTTACTACTAATCTAGTGTTCGGTCGATTAAAAGTACACAAACACAGTTGTTCTTGTCCTCTGTATAAACTGAAAATAAGTCTAAATAATTTCCGTGTACTTTGACGCTGTAACCAAGTGTCTGTTAATCAACTACATGAACCACAGATCCTAGCTTCTCTCTTAAGCTAGTTTATCATTGTTTCTGGTTATCTTTCATTGTTACCTAACAAATCAGTCTTGTCTTTCATCTATTCTTTTTACTGTCTTTTTCCTAAATATATACTAAGTGTGCTTTTTGGAAGCGATTGACCGCAGTTATTAAACACGCAATTTTAAAACTCAGTAATATGGCCATATTTTAAAGTTCTCGGTATTTCCTTACATACTAACATGCACGTGTGAATAGTTTATTTTGTATGCAAGTCAGTTTCAAGTAATAATATATGTATGATATGACAGCGAAGAGTGCAAGATATGGTCAGTACAACATTAAAAGTATCACTCAGACATTTTCAACATATAGCATGATATAAATGTACATTAACCTAGCTTACCACACTCCATCAGCATAGCAGAATAAAATTAAAAATATCTTTCACGAAGAAATGGAAAAAATAAGTAATTTCATTGATGGTATAAAAGAGCACACATTGAAGAATTTGGCTCGGTAAAAGAAAGATGAGTAAAACTCAAGATCTAGGAGAAGTTAAAAAAACGATCTGCCACATAGGTAGGAGTATCATTTTTCACATTTGAGTAGTTTGTACTTGCTGATGTGGTTACGAATGATTAAGTAATTTGAGTTGAGTCATAAAAACAAAGTTTGCTTTGTTGTCTAAATAATAAAAAGTCTAACTTTTTGAGATCTTTGGTAATATGGTTCGAAACCAATCATTGAAGTTCAGTTGGTTCCAACAAATCTCGATCTTTTTCTTAATATTTTGTGTTTTTGGTTGCTTCATTTACTTTTTCCTTGGTATTTTTTGCCACTTTTCAATTTACTTTCCATCTATTCATTTTCATTATGAAAGCACCAATTTCCAAGAGGTAAATATGAAATAGTGACGAACATCCTGGATATACCTTCACATAATTCCAGTGGACTAATAGGAAACTGTTTAGCTGCTGCCATTACATGTGCAGGTTTAGCTTTGCTAAACTCAGGTGTTCAGATGTATGATCTTCTAGTAGGATTAAATTTGGATCTCTCTGCCCTCGGTAATGAAAATGGACACCTTTGTGTTGCTGTTTTACCTCGTCTTCGTCAGTTTTCTATGCTTTATGCAGTGGATTCATGCATGCCTAACACCGAGTTTCTCAAAAATTCTTTAAGTCACGCTATGGACAATTGTATTAAACTTGCAGATGTAATTCGAAGCCATCTCTGCGGACAGCTTAAAACTAAAATAAAATAAATATTTACGGTTCCTTTGTTTTGCTAATATTTGATGTCAAATGCAGAACCTCAGAAAATAAGGCTTCCACTATCACCTGTAGGTTGTATGACAACAGTCAGGCTTCTCTTTAGGATTGTTTCTTCTCAGTGTTATCATATCAGTAACTTGTAAGTATTAAAAAAATTTGAAGTTTTCGTAGTTTCAAACATTTCCTCACTTATATTCGCAAATATATCTCAATCCTCTAAATAACTGTCAAGGGATCAAAAATCAGTCGAAGTGTATGCTTTGGCGTTCACCTACACAAAAAATGTAATTGACTTAGTACAGATTCATTTTCTCAAAGCTCCTCCGTGCGTGGGAGCTGGCGATACGACCCGGTTGCCTAAATCAAAGGTGAAGCGTGGCTTGAAAATACAACTTAGCGACTGAAAGTCAAATGCCTTATTAACTGGAGTACACGTGTTTACAACAAACAGGGCCACAGCGTAACTGCAATTGGCCTGATGCAGTTAGGTTTGTATTAAGAACTATAGTCAGGGGGTTGTGTTGGTGAATTTTTCATATTAACCAATCTGGTGATAATATTTTCATTGACAGACAGACAATACTAAGGTAACTTACCAAACATTAGAAACAAAGGATAGCTCTTGCATTTGATGCTATAATTGTGTAAGTGTAGATTCTCATAGTCTATTATGGAATACAAGTTGGCGACTTACTTACGCCTGTTACTCCAAATGGAGAATAGGTTGCCGACCAGCATTTTCCAACCCACTCTCTCCTGGGCCTTCCATTCTAGTTCTATCCAATTGTTCATTCTTTTCATGTCTACCTCCACTTCTCGGTGTAATGTGTTATTTGGTCTTCCTTCTCTCCTTTGACCTTGAGGATTCCAAGTGAGGGCTTGCCTTGTGATGTAGTTGGGTGCTTTCCTCAATATATGTTCCACCCACTTCCGGATTTCTTCCTCCGCTGGGATCTGCTTTGTTCTCTCCCACAGTAAGTTGTTGCTGACAGTCTCTGACCAACGAACCCGAAGTATTTTGCGTAGACAACTGTTAATAAACACTTGTATCTTCTAGATGATGGTTTTCGTAGTTTTCCAAGATTCCGCCCCATAGAGTAGAGCTACCTTGACACTTGTATTGAGAATTCTGACCTTGGTGTTGGTTGCCAATTGTTTTGAGTTCCAGATGATCTTCAGTTGTAAATATGCTACTCTTGTTTTTCTGATCCGCGCCTTCATATCTGCATCAGACCCACCGTGCTCATCAATTATACTGCACAAGTATGTAAAGGTGTTAACATCTTCCGAATCTTCTCCTTCAATTGTGATTGGATTGGTGCATGTTGTGTCGGAGAATCTTGCTTTTCCCTTTGTGTATGTTGAGACCTACTGCTGCCACACTGGTTGTCTTCTGCATTTGTTGTTGCGTGTGGGACACGAATACGAATAGTTTAGTTGCTTAACAATTATACGATAAAAATATACGTATGATATTGGTTCATAAATGGATCCCAAAAGTTACCATTCATTGTTCTCATCGGGATATAACACCTCCATGAACGAATTTTCAGTTCAATCCATCATGGAAACTCCGTATGATATTGACTGTCTCCTCAGGCACACCGTAATGTTGTCCTGTCCAGGCTATCAAATGCTTTCTCATAGTCAATGAAGTTGATGTAGAGTGATGAATTCCATCCGATTGATTGTTTCACAATGATCCGTTGTGTTGCGATTCGATCTGTACACGATCGACCCTTACGGAATTCCAGCCTGTTGGTCTCGAAGTTGGGCGTCTACGGGGTCCTTCATTCTGTTTAACAATACCCTGTTGAAGACTTTTCCTGGTATCGAGAGAAGATTGATGCCTCTGTGGTTCTCACACTTGCTGAGATCGCCTTTCTTTGGTGTCCTTCTTTCCAGTCTGTTGGTATTTGTTCTTCATCCCAAATATGCTGAAGAGAATGTGGCGTATCTGCAGTTACTACTACGTCTGCTTTCAATCCCTCTGCTGGAATGTCTGGTCTCGCTGCTTTGACGCTCTTGATTTGTCTGATGGCTATGATGCAAGGAAACCTCTTAGCGTCCTACTTAATGATAGCCAGGCTAAGAATATATTTCAGGAACAACTAGACAAACAGGCAGCCACATAAGTAATGCCCAACCCGAGGCAGCGTGGAAAGACATCCGAAAAGCTGTGGAAACAGCAGTGATATCTGCTAGTACGGTAAACCGTAAGGTTAGGGAGAAACACTAGATCTCAGCAGCATCTGCCGCACTAATAGATGCTGGGAAGCTCATCCCTTCTCGTTCTGAACATAATGAAGAGCGGAGTCAGCTTAAGCGCAAGCTGACAAGAAGTCTACGCAATGATCGCGAACAGTGGTGGGTAGCGAAAGCAAGAGAGGTATAAAAAGGCAGCAGCAATAGGTAATAGCAGACAATTGTTCAGACTCGTTAAGGAAACCGACTGTTAGCGAAACTATCTTGGAGAATGATGGACATATTATACATTCTCAATCGAGGAGATTGGATCGATGGGCAGAACACTTCAGGGATCAGTTCAACTGGCCTTCAGCCACACTTCGGCTTCCCACGATCTCCAGTCAACCTGAATGGCAAGTTAATGTAGGTCCTCCGTCATTTACGAAGTTGAAAAAGCCATAGGAAATCTGAAGCGAGGGAGAGCAGCAGGTCCTGACAGGTTTACTCCTGAGATTTTTAAGGATGGTGGTCCAGTATTAGCAGTGAGACTAACTGAGGTCTTAGATAGAATTTGGGAACTGGACGTAATCCCGTCTGACTGGTCTCAATCACTGATTGTGCCAGTCTATAAGAAAGGACAAAAGTCCTGTGACAATCACAGAGGAATCACAATTGATTGATCACTGGGTGGTGATCAATGTCATGTTTGTCTAGTCCTTATTAGTGCAGATCGAATGATATCGATCATGTTGCAATGTGGCCACCAGTCAATCAATTGTGATTACATCTCAGTCCTACAGAAGGTTAGTCACGGCTCGGATAGCTCAGTGGTAACGTCTCTGACTGTGAAGCTGGGTGACACGAGATCGGATCCGCCAGGGAGCACCAGTTCCCTCAAGATTACAGGTACACCTTGCTGACGAGTGCCAAGTAGCACGAAACCCGGGTCCAGGGTTTCCTGTTGACTACCTCCAACTACCATCTAAACAGAGGAATCAGTTTGACAAATATAGTGTCTAAAATATTAGCTTCAATAATAATTCGACGCCTAACTAAAGCTCGTGAAGAACAGACTAGAGAAAACCAGGCTGGTTTTCGACCTGGACGTGGTTGTATAGACCAGATATTCACACTACTTCAGGTCCTAGAAAATAGACACAAATTCATACGTCCCACAATAATAGTATTTCTCGACCTTAAGGTGGCATTTGACTCTTGATCGTGAGGTTCTGTGGCAGTGTTTGTCACTGAAGGGAGTACCAAAGAAGTACATAAACCTTATACACGCTCTCTGCCCCCAAATGCCCTGGTACGGCCGAGAATGGAGAGAGTCCGCTCTCCCTATCGAACTACTCTTACACGGCCACGCGTATATAACCTTCCAGGGAAGTCCTACTCATTGCCTTCTCGTGGCGGAGGTATTTATTATTTATTTATTTGAACACCTAAATATTGGTACAAGAGGGCACCAAATATATATACGTCACACAAAACAATGAGAATTCGAAGAGAGAAAAAAAGAACAGATTAGTGTAAGGTAGTGTAATAATAGTAATAATAAGGGAAACGGAAAGTACAACTAGAAGAAATCTTTCAGTTAGGGAAGAAACAACCATTTTTTTAAATGAAGAAAGTAAAAGAAGGTTACAGCATGATCGCCGCTGGTTTATACTCTAAGCTATATCTGATAACGTCTCTAGCCACTGTGTTGTACCATCTCTCGGACCCCAACCAGGGAGTCGTGAAGGACCAGCAGAAGCCAGTCCTTTGCAGCTTTCTTTCACACCACGTCATATACTGACCACCTCTCCGCTTTTTCCAATCAGTCCCAGAGGCGACAAATAATGCACGACGTGGAATTCTCTGGGACGACATTCTTAGAACATGTCCAAGCCACCGAAGTCGGTGTTCCAAGATGGTGACACCAATTGAATTATCATCTCTGTGCCCGAACACACGATGCCGAACCTCTGCATTACTAACATGGTGTTGCCACTGGATGTCAGCAATCCTTCGGAGACAACGATGATCAAACACAAAGAGTCGTCCAACATCCTCTACTTGGAGAGGCCAGGTTTCACAAGCATAGAACAAAACTGCTCTCACCGACGCGTTGTAGATCCGAACTTTTACAGCCAGACTAACATCACAAAGGCTCCAAAGATGGCCCAGATTGGCATAAACAGCTCTGGCTTTCACTATACGTGCATTGATCCCATCACCCGTGCTACCACCAGCATTTATGCAGCGGGGTTGTTGTTTATGGAATTGAGAGGACGAAAGGCGAATGACCGGCGCTTTAACCAGGTTGGTGGATATGGAGAGTTCACCTAGGGGAGTTAGAAAACCCTGATTCCAAAGTAATGGTGCGCATGGGCTACAGGATCCTGGAGGGACAAATGACGTATGAACCAATCGTTGGCCACCGGCTACCATAGGACTGCATCTCCTTGCGATGCTCCACTGTCTTGTGGATCGGACCTTCAGGTCGAAGGCTCTGGGTGTGGCCCCCTAAGAGGACCACCTGCTTCGGTTTGGGCACCCGTACAGTATCACAGCCCTTACACAAGTCTCATATGATTTGTGTGGCGCATATGTATTTGGTGCCTCCTTGTACCACTCTCTCCATTCTTGTTTAACCTTATCGTAGACATGCTTTTAGAGGTGACACTTTCCTCATCTAATTTTTCAGGGGTTGAACTTCTATTGGGCGATTCACTTGTTGACTTAGAATATGCCGTTTACATAGTTCTATTTGGTGAAGACGCTGAAAAAATGCAGTCTTCTGACCACTCTAGGCAACATTGCAAGCGTGTTCTGGATGAGATTCTTACCCTCGAAATGCGAAATGTTGCTTCAGGATTGGGTTGCACCGACACCCAAACTAAGGATAGGGAGTGAAGTAGATGAGTGTGTCGACTGCTTCACTTACCTTGGAAGTCTCATCAGCCCTTGTGGTCTGGTGTGTGACGAAATCTCAGCATGGATACAGAAGGCTAGACTAGCTTTCACCAACTTGCGTCATTTATGGCGTACGCGAGATATCCGTCTATCAACCAAAGGACGTGTTTACTGCGCAGCAGTTCGTTCCGTCCTAATTTATGGCAGTGAAACATGGCTGGTAAGAGAAGAGGATATTCGTAGGTTACTAGTATTCGATCATAGGTGTCTTCGAAATATTGCTCGTATATCCTGGGACCATCGAGTAAGTAATGCAGTTGTTAGGAAACGGGTACTAGGTAAGGATGGCGAATCAATTGATGAAGTAGTGAAACTTCATCAGTTGAGATGGCTGGGACACGTGTTACGTATGCCCAACGATCGACTGCCTCGACGTGCGATGTTCAGTGGTATAGGAGTAGATTTGAAGAAAGCTAGGGGCGGCCAGACCAAAACATGGCACAAATCCATAAAGTCACTGACAAGTGGTCTATGTCATGTCGGTAGGTGTAGACTACCTGGTTGGGGTCCGCCAGATTGTAGCAACCGATGGTTAGAGACCCTGAATGACATGGCTGAAAATCGTTTGCAATGGCGCAGGTGCATCCACTCTTTGTGTTCTCCCAAATTCTAATCTTCTGGATTCCTCATGTCCCTTTCTTTTTCCTCTTTCCAAATTTATTTCACTGGATTATACTCCTTGAATAACATCTTCAAACCCTAATTTTTCTGATTATAGCTTATAATTTTACTACATCCAGTACTACGGGATTTGAATCGACCACTGCATCTCTGTGCTAATGTGGTGTGGCAACTCGAACTGATGTACGTACGTACGAAGTTCTACGTTGTTACTGACTGACTGATGGCCATGCTGATCGCTTCAATTGTTGATGGACCAACATCGATTGGGAGGTCCGTGGGTGCTGGTTTGATGTTGGGTGTGTTCAGTGGGGCTAATCGACTCAAGAGTTCTTTCATATGCTCTACCCACTTGTTTCGCTGTTCTTCAATGTTCGTGGTTACTTTGCCTTCCTTGCTTTTTACTGGTCGTTCTGGTTTACAATAATTTCAACGAGTGTCTTTGTTGTATCATACGATTGTCTCGTGTTTCCTTCTCTTGCAGCCTTTTCCGCCGTCATTGTTGATGGATCTGATTATCAGTTCAGTACTCTCGGTTCTTAAATGAATAAGATCCTGGTCATATATCCCTCATACAAGAATAAAATTAGACGTATAACCGATTTGCATATCTTTGATTTCAATAAACACAGCACAATTAAAGGAAATTTCCAGAGTCGCACTACAGTGTAACTGTGAAAGGCAGTAAATCTGTCTACTGTAGCCTATCGCCACCGTCTCTGCCATTCTTTTTGCTTTATTTGGCATTTGAAATCTGAAAGTTGGTGAAACTATTTTTAAAAAGGATGGGATAATGATTCACTCGCAGCCAAGAGACTGGAACGGTGGACAGAACAGTGAAGAACATATTGATTGCCACCCATAAGTTGCCGACTTTTACCAAACAGCCAAAATCAGATGTCAGCATAGGCCCCCGACTCTTAAGAAGTAGAAAGTGCCACAGCTAGTCTAAAACAAAGGAGCGTAACAGCTGAGATTTCCAAGGACAGTGATTCAGTTGCTAAATTGGCTGAGATAGTAGCTAGAGTCTGGGAACTGAGCACACTAAAACCTGACTGGTCTCGATCTCTGATCATTTCAGTCCAAAAGCCCTCTTGTGATAACTTCATATGAATCAGTTTAGGTAACTGTCCAAAATGTTAATCTCAACAATCATCCAACACATAGCTAGTGCTTATGAAGAGCGAACCCGAGAAAACCAAACTGGTTTAAGATCCACTCATGAATATGCAGACTAAATATTCTCCCTTCATCAGGTTCTGGAGGACATACATACTGACCATTATATTTCTCGGAATTAAGGCGGCACTTATCTTTGGAGATCGAAAAGTTTTGTGAGTGTTTCATTGCAAGCGTATCAATCATGTACAAGCTTTCTACTCAAACACTACTGAATATTCTTCTAGAGATAACACTCGCTGTCTGACCTATCAAGAATCGACCTTCCACCAGGAGACTCACTTGTTAACTTAGAAAATGCAGATGATATGGTTCTATTTGGCAAGACTAAAAAATGTAGTCTCCTAACCACTTTAAGCAACAGTTCAAGCGATTTTTAGACTCAGAACTGTTCTGCATCGACGCCTAAACTAAGAATAAGGAGTGAAGTAGTTAAGTATGTCAGTCACTACTTATCTTGGAGGTCTCACTAACCCTGGTGCCTGACAATATCGTAGGACGAATTCATAAATCTCAGTTGGCTTTTGCCAACTTACATCACTTTGGAAATGTATTACATATGCCCACCCACTGACCAACTAGACGCGCGATGTTGGGGTAGCTAGAGGCTGCCAAATCAGGATGTGACAGCACTCCATGAAAACTGATTGTTGAGTAGGTGCAGACCATCTGGTTTCGGTCCACATGATTATCATAACCAATGTTTAGAGACCGTTGGTGACAACTCAAAATCGATCACAATGACGCGGATACTTGGTTTTCTAAAACTTTTTATGCTACCAATCCGTATATTAATTGCGACACTATGGATCATTGCTGAATAATCAATTGGATGGGACTCGTCACTATACATCAACTTCCTTGACTATGAGAATGCATTCGACAGTGTGGATAGAACCTAACGGAACGTCCTTCGAGACTATGGTGTACGTAAGCAGATCGTCAACACCATATGGCGGACTACACTGCAAAGTGATGCATGGAGGACAGCTGACAGACGCATTTTAAGTGAGGACCAGAGTCAGAAAACGCTGCTTACTCCCTTCATTCTTCTGGTGATTGACTGGACTACGAAGACCTTCACATCTGACGAGAAGCACGAAATACAATGGACAGCTCGGAATCAATTAGAAGATTAGGACTTCGCAGATGACCTGGCCCTTCAATCCCATACACACGAACAAGCGTAGATGATGACAAATAGTGTAACAGCAGCCTTTGTATCAGCAGGCCACAACACACACAAGGGGAAAAGCAAGATCATAAAATTCAACACGGAGAAAACCAAACCAATCACACTTGATGGAGAAACTCTGGGAGAGGTAGAAAGTATCTGGGTAGCATCGTCGGTAAACGTGGAGGATCTTGTACAAACGTAAAAGCGAGGATTGACAAAACAAGGACAGCATTTCTACAGTTGAAGGGCATATGTAACTCAAAAAAAGCTGTCAACCAATATCAAATGAAAATCTTCAATACGAACATCAAGACAATTCTACGGTATGGAGCTGAAACTCGAAGAACTACTACAACCACCATCAAGAAGGTACAAGTATTTATAAACATTTGTCTACTAAAGATATCCAATGTGCGGGAAAGGCGCACATTACGGGAATCGACAAACTGCAGCACGAGGCAGGTGCTAATTTGGAATCCTGAAGAAAAACGGAAAAGAGAAAAACCAAAGAACAGATTGCGCCGGGGATTGGGAGCAGACTGAAAAGGATTGGCCAAAACACAGTTGAATGGAGAATACTGGTGGGTGGCCTATATATCTCCACGAGGGGTAACAGGCGATGAGTAATGAATGGAATCCATATTTTCTATACCTGATTTTTTACCACGATTTATATTGTCACTACTTTTATTAATCTGGAATTCGTTCTGACAATTTTATTCTGCTGTGCGAAGAGGTACGACAACCTGTACTAGTATATGCATTTGCTAGGCTCTACGTTACGTTTGAATAACCAAGTAACTAATGACCTAACCGGACTATGTAGTTAGTGCAATCAAAGTTGACGACAGAATACCCGGATAAGAGGAATAATAAGAAAATGAAAAGTCATAATGAACATCATGAGACGTAAGAATTAAGATGACAACTAGCAGTAAGCTGCTCAGAGAATTTTTGATAGAATTAGTCTAATAAAAACGATGATGATCTCTAATCTACGAAATGTGATGTCATTTCTAGGTATATTTATTTTAACAGTTAACGAATCAGGATTGTATGCAGTTATGGATGCTATTAATGTGCTGTCTAAATTGATACAACGACTTGAATGACTCGATCCAGTCTCGCGAGTGAAGTCGTAAATGAATTTTAAAAGCTAATTAGTGATGAATTTTGCGTTCTACGATTAAACCGAATATTTGCATACTTTACAAACACAAATAAGAAAAAAGTCACAATAACAGATTTAAATTTAGGATATTCACTATGATCCTAAGTTCACCAGAACAACTGGACAAAAATAAATGGTTTACCAACTATCACAATATAAATTGGGAATATTTATGATCAGTATAACTATTCATCAGTGATCCGGTGTCGATCACTTTAGGAACACTCATTTTGTCTGTAAATTTCAACTATAACCATTGAAAATGAGTTTTTAAAAAAATATATTAGCATGGTTTAGCAAACTAATACGTTCAAACCTCACGTTTCTATTTTTAACACAAGATAAAAAGTCATGACCGTGTGTACAACATTAGAATTAATAATAACAATAATCATATTAATAGAGCTGTCATAAATTTTAAACTCAATCTCTGAAACAATTTATGTACAAGCAAGGTGAAACAATACAAATCGGCTTTCTGATTTGGTATACGCTTCATCTTAACAAAAAAGACAGCAAAATAAAAACAACGAAAACCAATAGTCTCTAGTCGTCCAGATTCAAATCGAATTCAGAATACAGTTCTCGGACCAGACAACCTCGATTGTTTGCTAACAGACCAAATAGTATTACACATGAATCTTTGGCCTCATTGTAAGCATGTAAACGATTACGACATTTAGCTAACTCCAACTCTAAATCAATATAACTTTGATTTGGTCGCTTTGATAACAGTTTGTTAATACAATTTTCTATTTTACTGTTGTCATCCAAGTCGTCGTTGACATCATCAATGCTAACTTTAGCAATGTGAATATTCTCTTTCCCGAGGTGTTGCAGCTCAGTGTGGAATGAACTAGTTTGTTTATTAGTATCATTTGGGTTTAATTGACTTCTCTGGAAAAAATAAACATAATATCTGGAATATATACTGAGCATGACTTATTTCACTGCACTTCAGGTTCAATGAAACACTAGAAATTAAATCGAATCACATATATCGTATATAATACTTACACTGAATGGTATAAGTAGTATCACATCCCGACCATGAGTTCAAGATAGTACATTGAAAAGTACAATCTTATTGAAATGGGTACACAGAAATACAGGAATTCGGATGATTATTTCGACACATTAAGTGCGGGAGATTGAAAAACAGAGACCTATAGGTAGGCGTCTGTACAATTACTAAAAGATATAAGTGAGCATCTAGGATACTAAAATATCTACCGGTTCAACGCCTTGGATGCATGTTAATTGTGAAAGGCAGTCAGCTAAAACGTAGGACCAGGCACATGTATGCATCAGTCCAAGTTGCTACGTCTCATTAGCACAACAAGATGAACACCAAATTCATAGAAGCAGTCACCTCAATGGTAGTAATGTATAAAAGAAAGATTGTGTATAAGGACATAGCACAAGAAGAAAGAATTGGTTCGTAGAAAGAAAGGTATAAAGTAAGTTTAATCTCTTAGTTTAAGGGAAGACAGAGAGTGTATACACCTACGCCATTGCGATCGACTCTGAGCTATGTCACTCCGAGTCTCTAACCATTGGATACGATAGTCACGCATACCCCAACCAAGTAGTCTGCACCTATCAATATGGTTCAGACTAGCAAGCCCCCAAGTGCCCTGGTACAATCGAGAGTGGGGAGATAGTCAGCTTTCCCTCTCGGAATGCTCAAGTGTCCACATGCTTAAAACCACTGCCAGGGAAGGACTACTCACTGTCTGCTCGTTGCGGGGGTGTATTTTAGAAAGTTGAGAGGATGAAAAGCGGGCGTCCGGCGCTTTGACCGGGTCGGTGTTTACGGAGGATCCACCTGAGGGAGTTGGAACAACCCGATTCTAAACCAGTGATGTGCATGGGTTCCAGAATCCTAAGACAGCAAATAGTGTAAAAACTTATTGTTGGTCACCAGTTACCATGGGACTGCATCTCCTTACGATGCTCCACTGCCTTGTGGATTAGACCTTTAGGTCAAAGGTTCGGAGTGTGGCCCCCTAAGGAAGCCATCTGCTTCGGTTTGGTCACCCGGGCAGTATCCCAGCCTTCAAATAAATCGAATGATTTATGTGGCGCATATCCAATGGATGCCTCCCTGTACCGATGTTCATGTGTTTAAATAAATATTAAAACAGACTAGAAGTTAGTGACTATATAAACTGATGCCTAGTTTTGGTTTGGCCGTCTCTAACTTAATTCCAACCGTGTCCAAGATCAGTCAGCATTGCGCGTCGTGGTAATCAGTGGTTGGGCATGCGTAATACGTGGTCCAACCATATCAGTCGATGAAGGTTTACACCCTCATCGACTGGTTTGCCATCATTCCCTAACACCCTGAATCTAACCTCACTATGACTTACCCGTTGATCCCAGCAGATGCGAGTAACAATAATTATTAATGTTAAGTATGATTGGTAACCTGACTGCTGCTGCCACCTTGACGTGATGGTCGTGCTTGTCCATCGTGATGAACCAATCGAGCTATACTGGCTGGAACAACCGTTCCTCAAGGTTCTACTACACCAGACAGGTCGGTTGGATGGCAGTAAAACTAAAAGCAACAAACTCAAGGTCCAAGGGCGAAGTCGTACTGCTGACTGTACAGAGGTGTGACGGCAGTAAGGTGTTTCATTCAGACAACCAGCACAACAGTTATGCTGCCTTCCCACAAAGAAGGGTGGGGTTAGAAAAGGTCGGCTCGAGAAATCTATTTTTGTTATGCCCCAATGGGTAGAGAAATTGTATCTCTGACCTTTCGTGAAAGTCACTTACTCTGAAGAAGTGGCTTACATCAAGTCACTACTCAATCGGATATAACAAAAATATATTTATTACAAATTCAAAGTTTACTACTAATAAGTAGTAGAAGAATGGTTAGATCGCACAAAATAAAAAATACAACAGGAAATAACTTACAATAACATCTGGTTGTTTATTAATTTCATTGTTTTGATTGTTAATAGTAGGATCGGTGAAACTGTTACTTTCATTGACCCTTTTTAATGGAGATTTGAAAGGAGCATTTATGCTGGAGTGTCGCTTTCTAGTCTTTCTAGTGGGTGTTGACATGCTGAACAACCAAATATTCACATGGAAGTATGCAAATGATGAAGTATTAACAAGTATATCTATATACAGGAGAAAAATGACACGCTGGAATATTCATCTATTTACACAGTGCAAATTACATAATGCGAAAAGAAATAAAAGAGGAAGATATTGTTGATGAGATACAACAAGCATCGTAAAATACAAGAACAAAGAAGTCAGACAATTAAAGTTGTCTGTAATGGCTTTACTAGTCATCTTTTTTCAAAGGAAATCCTTGAGCTATACACTGAGGACAATACCATTGTCCACGTGGTTTATTCACTAAACCAACACACTCGAAATGGAACCATTCAATTGCACAATCACGATTATCACACGCAACCATTTCGCCATAGGATACTTGTTGACATATACAATAGGTAGGTTCATTTGGATCAACTGGCATATCTAATACTTCTCTAGGATTATTCGTCAATGCCAATGCCAATGCAGCAGTAGCTGGGATTCTAGATTAAAAACAAATATGAAGAAACGAAACATGATAACTCAGAGAAAGTTACGAAAAGTCGAACACATTTTCATTAGTGCCCCCAAATGCCCTGGTACGGTCGAAGGACGGAAGAGTCAGCTCTTCCCCTCGAAATACTCTCACATAGCCAAGTGTATGCACTCACTGCCAGGCTACGGAACTTACAAACAATTTGGCGAAAAATTAGATAACTCAAGGACTATTATTATTGATAGTGATAGTTCCTCTGAATGTCCTGAGATGATCAAGGGTATAGAGAATGCTTTCGTTCCTCAAATGACTTTATAAAATCCTTAGTCCTGAGCGTAGCGGTTTTAGCGAAAGCAAGAGGATGAAAAGTGGATGTTCCGAGCACAAACTGGGCAAGTGGATATTCAGGGTCCACTTAGGGGAGTAGGAAACTGTTAAGTCCCGATATATAAGATATAACAGAAACCCTGATTATAAAACAACGGTGTACACAGGTTTTGGAATTTTGAAATAGGACACGAAGTCATTTTAGTCACCAGCTACCATGGCACTGTATTTGACGTTGCCCCGCTACTTCGTGGGTCGAACCCTTAGGTCAAAGGCTCATGGAGTGGTCCCCTAACAAAATCTTTCGTTTGAGGTCAGATGATCCAAACAGTATTCGATTCAACACTTGTGTGCATAAAGAATATTAATGACGAAAATAAATACGGTTAATCTAGTACCCATTTTAGGTCCAATCGTTAGGATGTGAAAACACAATATTACTCAATTATCCAAACTTTAATGGAGTATATGAGCTTAAACATGCGATCTACGATATGTCGTGAATTAAAAATACAGTAATTTGAACAGATTTATCTTTCTAAAGGGGTATTTTCCAGGACGTTTAGAAATATCGCCAAAGAACTCGCCAAGCCCAAAATAAAATCTTAGCGAAAACTTACAAAATGATAACTTGATATAAATCTAAGAATGCCCATTCGGTAGTAAGTAACCCAAAACGTTGATTCCCTAATGAGTAGAGTTTCACTTCACTTGTTTCATTCAGCTACGATAGTAGTATCATCACCTCCGAAATAAGACTAGTTGACAGCTTAGCATATTAGTCTGCATTCATTTACAGTCTTCAGAGGTTTGAATGGTTTATTCCAGTTTAAGATACAACATAAATTATAACATCTTATATTATTAAGTATATATTACTGAGTGGATTCCATAGGTCCCAATAGACAAACATTAAAATCTTGGCTTTAAATAAACATAAATGACGCAACAAACGGGATCAAGTACTAAGTAAAGACTCACTTAGGAGAAATAACCGGCTCTTGTTCTTGTTTTGTTCGAGATTTTTTCACTTTCTTAGACTCTTTTTCAGCTAACATCATAATACGGTCAAAACTTCACACGTACCTAATGCCTTTTTGAATTCAAACATATCTGCATCTAGTCGACGTATTTGTTTGTCAACTAGTTCATAAGCACTTTCAGCTCTGGACACCTTATCGTTACTAATTTCTTTGCCTTTTTTAAATAAACTTTGTATTTGTTCAATTTGTGCTTTGCGTTCCTCTTTGGACATTTCATATGCATGTTCAAATAGGTAGGTTGTGCGTTGTTGTGTTTGACGAATGATATCCTGGACTTTTTGATCAAGATCACGCATAATTTCAAATTCTTGTCGCAAATGAGGTGGTAAGTGTTCTAAATCTAAATAAACATTTGTAAAGGGAATAACTATTGGTAACAGAAAGACATTAAGTTCAAATACATATCTCAAAAGTATTGTTTAACGTTGAATCTAATCAGAAAATCAATAAGAGCTTGAACAAGCTAAAAATTATTAAATTTTTGATGATAAAATGAAAGAAAGGCGGTCTATTAGTAATGCAGAATATGATGTGACCGAGTAACAACTAACGAAACTGAACCTACTGACTTATTACATTGATTAACAGTTATTGGCTGGATGATAATAAAAACAACCTGAATAGCTAGCAACTTGAACCGATGTACATATGTCAGGTTCTACGTTGCGTATTAACAAGTAACTGGAATTTAAAGCAAAATGCGATAGTTCAATGAGAAAATCCTACTCACAAGGGTCTTTATGTATACACTGTTCGAAATCGTATCATTTTCAGATAACTGTAACCGTACCAGAGATGTTAAACAGAACTGAAAATCTGCTATAATGACGCCAGTAATCTATGAAAAAGTGAGGTAACCTCGATGGTAGAGTCAGTTTAGAAAAAACTGAGGTTGCCGAAACGAGAGAGGAGGGAGATTAGCGACAGTTGCGCACAGACAATGAATTTATCGCTTTGAATAACTAATGAACTGAAATAAATAATGTGAAAACGCCTGGTTACATGAGATGTTAGGCCGGCGGTACATGTAAATGAATCGTGTGGACTACTACGACCTTAGCTAAAATAGAACGATGGGGTTATTCCTACTTTATCGAAGTCCTGAGCAAGAAGCCCCTGAATGTTTGTGTAACATATTGAAAAGAATCAGGAAGTTGCAGTGGTTTGGTTAGCAGTAACCGTACTACACTAATGAACTGGACTTTCGACCACCAGAGTGGAAGATTTGAACCCTGCACCATCTAGGTCACTTTGAAAAGCTAGGTAACATAAACAGCCATTCTAAAAATATGTTATAAGGCTAAATACATCAATGTGCACTCAGTTAATAAAATACTGTATAAAGTATGTCAGCTTCTCGGGAATATAACTTATGAAGGAAACCAATATCGAATTAACGTGAATGCAAGTTTAACTTTCAACACATTTTTGTTACGTTACTTAATGAACTTGAAATGCATTTCCATTCAATGCAACAAAAAGGGAATAACAGAGTTTCCCTGTTACTTTTTGAAGTGTAGGATTAAAATCATACTAAAGACCGGATGAAAATAAGTGTATAGTGCGGAGATATCGAATACAGTTCAAGTCCCATCTTGCACGAGTTGCTGTCAAACAACATAAGAGAATGTCCGACTATAGAGGTAGTGACACCTCATTCAAGAGATAAGGACAAAGCAAAGGCCAGTTGCTCGAACTTTGCTCATTAAATGCATTACCACTGGTACAGTTGAGGTTGTGAATCTTCATCGACTGAGATGGTTGGGCCACGTGTTACGTATGCCTGAACTACGATTACCATGACGTGCAATGCTATCCGGTATTGGAGATGGTTGGAAGAAAGTTAGGGGCGGCCAAACCAAAACGTGGCATCAGTGCTTGAAGTCACTAACTTCTAGTCTGAGTCATGTTGGGAGATGCAGACTACTTGGTTGGGGTCCGCGTGACTATCGCAACCAATGATTGGAGACTCTTGGTGACATGGCTCAGAATCGATCATAATGGCATCGATGTATACACTCTCTGTCTTCCCTTAAACTAAGAGATTAAAATCGCTTCAAATCTTTATTTCTACGAACTAATTCTTTCTTCCTGTATTATATCCTTATTGCAATCTTTCTTTTATATATTACCACCTCTGAATTAACTACTTGTATGAATTCGGTGTCCATCTTGTTGTGCTAATGAGGTATGGCAACTTGGACCGATGCATATATGTGCCTGGTCTTACGTTGTAGCTGACTGACTGACTACCTAATTAAGACTGGTGAACTGCAAACACGAGAAAATCAGGCTGGATTTAGACTTGATCGTGGCTGCATTATCCACATATTCACCATTCGTCAGGTTCTAGAAAACAGGTATGCTTATCGGCGTGCGACAATGATAGTTTTTCTTAACAGAAAAGCAGCATTTGACTCTGTAGACTGAGAGGTACTGTGGCAGTGTCTTTCATTGAGAGGTGTACCTCAGATGCACATAAACATTGTGAGTGCACTTAACTCGAACAATACTAGTCGAGTCAGAGCTTATAGCGAACTGTCATCTGCTTTGCAACCTCAAGTGATGTCCGTCAAGGCTATCCACCATCTCCATTTCTCACTAATTTCATTAAAAACCTACTTCTGGAAATAACGTCCACGTCGTCTGGATTTTCAGGCATTGATCTCCTACCAGGAGGTCTACTTATTGACTTAGAATACACAGACGATATAGTCCTCTTTGGTGAAGACACTGATAAAATGCAGCCTCTTGATAGCACTGAGCAACAATATCAGAATGTTTGGGATGCGTTCCTCACCCTCTAAATCCAAGGTGTTACTTCACGACTGGCCTGCGTCAACACCTGAACTAAGGATAGGGAGTGAAGTGGTCGAACGCGTTGACAACCTCACTTATCTTGGAAGTCTGATCAGCCCTAATGGGTTGGTGTCTGACGAAATCTCTGCACGGATTTAAAATCCTCTTTTGGCTTTTGCCAAATTACGTCACCTATGGCGAAGTCGAGATATCCGTCTATCAATTAAGGGACGAGTATACTGAGCAGTAGTTCGTTCTGTTCTACTTTATGTCTGTGAAACGTGGCCTTTAGGAGTAGAAGATACTCGTAAGTTCCTAGTATTTGATCACTGGTGTCTTAGAAATATTGCTCACATCTGCTGGGATCAACGGGTAAGTCATAATGAGGTTAGATACAAGGTATTAGGGAATGATGGCAAACCAGTCGACGAGATTGTAAATCTTCATCGACTGATATGGCTGGACCACGTATTACGCATGCCCAACATATGAATGTACGTCTTTCTGCCCCCTTCCTTGTTAGCCTGACTATAACATACGAAAATTTCGGTCAATAACACATAAAAGTGACTAAAACGATTGAGCCTTAACAATCTTTCGAGAGCTATGAGGTCGCACGAAGTATCGACCTGAGATACCCTTTTCAAGAAATATTTATATATATTCTGTTTTATAGCTATGATCGAGAACGCTAAACTCAAGGCTACTATCGAACAACCTGGAGATTTAATCGTTTTAACTAATCACGAAACATCAAAGTATGAATAATCTGTCAGGCGAAGAATTAAGATTATAATTGTTATTAGTTCGTGATATATATATATATATATATATATATATATATATATAACACCAAACGGCAACTGTATTTCGATATTTGCACGATTTTCTCGGTTCACTAATTCATTCGGCAGCAAACTTTAGCTCAGACCCCAGAAACAATGCGACACTACTTTTATGTTGTTCAGGTGGTTGTGGACAAAATAAAGGCTTTAGCCTAACGTATCTCCATATTTACAAGAAGGGGATCGCCGGTGCCTCTAGGTAGGAACCTAAGTATATCTAACAAGCAAAAGAGAAATACTAGTAAACTGTGATGGAATACTGCCCTAAGTCCTTGGAAATATACCAGCTTATCCTTTAAGGGCACCTATGTAGACGCTTGAACCACCATATTTGGTAACGAATCCCAGGATTTGACTACTCATAAGACAGAAGTCTACCCATAGTCTGTTTATTATGTTGTGATACCAATTTTCGGTTATTGCCCCTGAATTTCGTGTTGGGACTGGACTGAAGTAAGCATTTAATGGGGTGCCCCGGAGTGTTTAAAATACCGTCATTAGAGCCAGTGACTTAAGTTGTTCATTTTCATAAAGTTTTGAATGGTCATGTAATAAGCAATTAGTCTTGGTTGATACTGAGACACAAAGTCACACAATCGGTAAATCCACTACATACGGAGAAATGGTCAAAAATAAACACAAACCTTCCATATATTTCTGTAGGTACTCCATCGACACGGAGGAGGTCGAAGTCAAATCGTCCCGCACGACCTTGAGTCTCTTTGTTCAAGGTGGGCTCAAAATGGTTTAAATGGTTGTGGACGGAATAGTAGAAGCTTTCGCTTAACGGGCTTACGTGTCTAGTAGCAGTGGATCACTAATACCTCCAGGCAGGAACATAGATATATTAACGATAAAAGAGGAAAAAGAAATTGGTAAGTCATAGTAAGATACTATCTTTAGTTATTAAGAATAGATAGAGTTGCCTCTTAAAGAACTCCTGGGACGTCACTTGGACTAGCTCAGCCGGCAGAGAATTCCAGCATTTTATTACTCTTAAGAAGCAAAAGGTTTGTCTACAGTCCGTTCTGCTGAGTCGTGTTTCGAGTTTCTTGGTATTACCCCTTAGGTTTGTGTTACAGCTAATCTTACGTATGTATTATCTTCTATCTTCCCTCCTCAACAGTGCTGCTATGGGGTCTCCAAGTATTGAGGGCGACAATCCCACTATTCCGAGACCATCTTCTATATACTCCGACCTGATGGGGAGTGAAACATCTTTCTCACCATCCATAACTGTCTCTAGTCTTAAGAGATCCTTGACCGAACCTCCTGATCACTACCCGAATACACTACTTATTCATCCAATTCATTAGATTCTACCTAACACTCCTAAACAAACTTCTTTCATCAAACTAACTTCCGATTACCTTTCTCCCATTAACCATATTGGTAAGAAACTAAACGAACATGAATATGGAACCAATGCTCCCACTTCTTATGACGAAACAGACAATCCACTGGGTTTACACCACACCCTTCTACTAGACAAACACTCACCGTATCTGACACTTTTGCTAATTAATGCTCGGTTTGTACAAAATAAGATGTCACACCTACGCACCCTGTTACTTTAAAAAAACCCTTCACTTGTTTTGAAAACGCAAAGTTGGTTGTCCTCCGATATTACAGACTCGTACCTCCAAATAGAC